AACTGGTTAATGCCTTTATAGTAACCCTATCCCTATAGACTATCCCAGACTATAGCAACACCTCCACACTTGCTCAGAACACAAATGCCTAAACTTAACAGCTGGACAATGCCATATCCATTCACCTGGCACCCAGCTTCTGTCCCATGTAGAAAGGTAGACAATGACATTATCATTATTAATAGGGCCAGGGGGATAATCCCAAACAACAGAGAAACTATTGTTGGGTGAAGCGTTTACAGTTCTGACACCAGGCCAGGCCCCACCACAGAGTAAAGGTCTGAGTGCGAGAGCAGTTTTGCTTCAGGTGCTGCTCCTGCCTCCAGACACCACACCGGTTTGGAGGCTCTGCATGCTTGTCGCCTGTCTTCCGTCACCCCGGTGCTGCAGTGTTGTCACAGAAGGCCCCTGTCTCTTTCCATTTAGAGCATCTCCAAAGAGAGGCATCTCCCTGGCAACCAGTGGTTGTTTACAGGCCTCTTGGGTCCACAGTGAGCTCTGGGTCCCCCCATTCTCCTGTTGAAAAAGGCCCCCACTAAAGGAGATTGTCAGGCCTCTATTCACTGCCAGTAATTATGTGTTGTACGCAATGTCCCACACCTCCCTGTGTACGCTACTTGTTACATACCAGCAGAAGACAGGGATCTTCTCCTGACAATACTCCTGATTAAAGTTAGTCTCTAATTTCAGTTCAAAGATCACAACGCAGTAAATATGTTACCCATTCAAGGTGAAGGTAGTAGTGGGGGTATCAAATAAAAAAATCTAGTGACAACATATCAGGAAGGAAAAAGAGAGAGTGGGATGGGTCAGTGTTTTTATTGGGAAAAAATCTGCTACAAATACAATATCTTATTAAACTTCAAACAGTGTTGTAACTTGAATATCCACATTGTTAGCATCATAATCAACCATTGTTATTACTGGTATTATTACTATTTTTAAAGAATGCATAAATCCCATTTAACACACACACAGGCCCTGACAGTAGGGCCAAAGCCCAAGGGTGGGTCTCTAGGTCACAGTGGCCCTGAAATAAACTTCCTGGTTCAAGTGAGTGTAGCTCAGTCCCCCTGGGGAGGACAACATCAGCCTGAGTCTAGCAGAGTTCTCACTGTAGACTGAGTGACATATGACATTACATGACACTCCCAAGGCAGCCGAGTCCTGGGGGACACAGTCAGAGACACAGGCTGTGTCTAAGGACAGCCAGCCTTCGCTGATTGCTGTGATACCAGTCTATATGGCAGTCTGTTTCCTGTCAGCCTTACCAAGTTCAGAACAGACACAGTCGCAGTAAGACCCAACAAAGTTCATACAATATAGTTTCCTTTTTACTGTCCCTGTTTTTGGTGTTTTGGTGGATGTCTCTGTTGCAGGTGGTCTATCAGTGTGTGACCTGCAACATTGAGTTTATTTTACGGAGATTGGGCTGGTTTTGAACACAAGCAGGACATCTGGGATGATGATGCACAGTACAGTTGCATTATGCATGGATGCAACAATACACAAAGAGTGAAAAGTATACATTTCAGGTATACTCCATACAAAATCTACATGTTAGGCTACAGCTGTGCACATGAACGCTGATCTAAACATTTACCTTACAAACATTTATAAAATAGCATCATTATAAGGTAGTAAAAATTATTTAATTAAAGATGCGTGACAATGCCCCTCAGGACTTCTCATGGTGACGACAGTTTTTCTCTAATGGCCACCCCTGTCATACCGTGCCATCAACCAGTACAATACAATTAAACACAGAAAATATAACATGTCAATGTCTATCAAATAAGGATGCATTATCTCCAAGAACACTTTGACTAAGCCGAGAGTCCATTTTTGTTTGCCACACTTTTGTATATCTGGGATGGTTTTCTCAGTTGGTTTTGCAATCTATACCCATGTATAAAATATTAACGACACAACAGATAAATTGGCTGTACATTTTGTACCATCCCAGTGCTCCAAAACATCGCCATGTTATGACTGAGATAATACTTAACCTTCCGTCTGCTCTTACACAAAAACAGCCACAACTTACATTATCATCCATCATGAAATGTACACATTGGAATGAATTAACGTTACAAAAATAAAAACAATTGAACAAAATTCCTACCCTTCTTCAAAATATATTTTTGAATTAAAGTGCAATATTTCAACGCATTCCTCTGTGGAAAATATATAACTTACGAAAAAACGAATACATTCTCAATCTTAGTTACCACAGGGACCTAAACCTAAATGTTGCATTCTCTACCGTATGTACAATTCTCCTCGGAAATAAGGAAAAACACATAAATGGACAGACCATTATACTTTTACTAGTCAGTCTAGTAACAACTAATCACAATCCATAATATCTTCCTCCATTGGTCACTATATAAGAACAATCTAACTATTTCCCTATAAGACATCCTTCATCAGGATGAACCAAAACATTATCTTAAATCTCCATATATCAATGCTAGCTCAACGGGTACACTACTACTCAAACATGGCTTGTTATTGGACATGATCATTTTATCCCTTTGAAGCAAAGTGCCTTTAAAGAAATTGATCTCATATTATTGAATATGCAGCTGTTCTGCACAGTTCTGTTTAAATCCAACTTGAATAATTAGTGCGCTATCAGAAAGTGGATGTCTTTAACAAACCATTGGAACATAATGATTGCAACAGACCTGGAATGTGTATGGTATATTCAAACAGATTTTCACAGCTCTGACCAATGGGTTTTTGGGAGACCCCACTGAGATAGGAGCAGTGTGGATCGTGGAAGGTACAGTGGCTTGCGAAAGTATTCACCCCCCTTGACATTTTTCCTATTTTGTTGCCTTTTTTTAAGCAATGGCTTTTTTCTGGCCACTCTTCCATAAAGCCCAGCTCTGTGGAGTGTACAGGTTAAAGTGGTCCTATGGATAGATACTCTAATCTCAGCAGTGGAGCTTTGCAGCTCCTTCAGGGTCATATTTAGTCTCTTTCTTGCCTATCTGGTTAATGCCCTCCTTGCCTGGTCGATGAGTTTTGGTGGGCGGCCCTCTCTTGGCAGGTTTGTTGTGGTGCCATATTCTTTCAATTTTTTAATGATGGATTTAATGGTGCTCTGTGGGATGTTCAAAGTTTCTGATATTTTTTTATAACCCAACCCTGATCTGTACTTCTCCACAACTTTGTCCCTGGCCTGTTTGGAGAGCTCCTTGGTCTTCATGGTGCCGCTTCCTTGGTGGTATTGCAGACTGTGGCCTTTCAGAACAGGTGTATATATACTGAAATCATGTGACAGATCATGTGACACTTAGATTGCACACAGGTGGACTTTATTTAACTAATTATGTGACTTCTGCAGGTAATTGGTTGCACCATATCTTACTTAGGGGCTTCATAGGAAAGGGGGTGAATACACACCACTTTTCCGTTTTTTATTTTTTAGCATTTTTTGAAACAAGTTATTTTTTTCATTTCACTTAACCAATTTTGACTATTTTGTGTATGTCCATTACATGAAATCCAAATAAAAAGCAATTTATATTACAGGTTATAATGCAACAAAATTGGAAAAATGCCAAGGGGATGATTACTTTTGCAAGGCACTGTAAATGGCCTAGGAACATTGTACTGATTCTGTACAGTGTTGCAATGTACACTTTTACATTTGCATTTTACTATCAGACCAACATTGGTGTTCAATAAAATAATGAACATAAAACTGGACTTTTACAGCGCAACAACCAATTCAACCACAAGGATAGACTTATCCAACAGTACTCACGTCATATTTCACTTCTTGCACTTTACAATGTCAATTTCCCTAACACTTCTCATAGTGGGCACTAAACCAAACAGCTCATACATTTAGGCAACACATGGGCCTTTTTCACAATACTGTGCATGGGTATAAACATGATGACTTGGAGTAACACTGACTGAAGAACACTGGGCTTTGAATGACTTTTGACTTGTGCCCGGTCTATTTCGAGACTGGGCTGCCCTCTTGTGTTTGGGACAGTGTATTACACATAGGCCCTAAGATCCTGCTAACAACTGTTTGATGCCAGCAGTACAGTACCAATGAATACTTTGAAAAAGGTGGTAAAACAACAAACACATCCCCAATAAACACGTTTCTTATTATTAGTACAGCATTTGAAACTGAAACATTTTCCAAAAATAGATTTCATCTTGTCTGGTGCTTCATAAAAATATCAGCAGAGCAACAGCAGAGTGAAGACTAAATGCAGTACTATAATTCTGTTTCTTAACTATGAAATAAGAACAATCTATAGTTCAATTATGTAGAAAAATGTGACAAGTGCAAGTATTCACAAGAACTCTGAATACAAAAGGGGATAGTTTGATAGTTTGTTTTGATTTGCAAATGTTAGTGTGTGTTGTTGTCGTGATGGGGATGTGAGAATGTCCTCCCTCTCTGTTTAACTGGTCATGTCTAGACTGTCACCCATCTGTAAGCTTATCACACTGACAATGGGGTCAAGCCATTCAACTGTAGTCCCTCTTATTCAAAAAGCCATCAAATGATTCACTTGAGAATAAACTTTAACAGAACTAATCTGTGGTACTTTTACCAGAACGTGTGTCATGTGATGGCTTTTTCCTGGAGTTTGAAAACATTTCATTTGAACAGTGAAAAATAAAGAGTCAAAGAAAATACCTTAAATCCTTATTTTTGGGAACCTTCATACTTTCTGCCGAATAACAAAACTTTCCATGCTGTACTCATTGTTTTGCATTGCAGTGGTTTTGAATTGCAACATTTATTGGAGGCCAAGCTCCCTTTCTCCCCAGTATACAGGAAGTGAAGGGGCTGCTGCTGGCTGAGAGGATATGATGTAATGGTAATGGGCCTTGACGAGTTTAAGCAGGTGAGCAGAGTGGATGAAGGGCCAGGTAGAGGATCGGGGACAGGGTTAGGAGATAATCCCTCTGGAGCTCTCCCAGAGTGGGAGTCTAGGCCAGGGCCAAGGTCCTTCCAAACTCTCCCTGTGAGGTGGCTGTGGAGGGGGCGGGATATGGGGTGGATCCAGAGAAAGAAAGAGAGCTAGTGGGGTGTCAGGATGGAAGTGCATCCCCAGACAGCAGAGTGGGGGACTCAGAGGACCAAGGGGACTCAGTTCTCTGCCATGGAGAGAGCCAGGGCTGCCTGTAGTGCCACCTCTTCATCAATACTGTAGTCCTGCAAACACAGAGTCACACAGTCACTCACTTTAACATTTGATTTGACAGGACAGGGCCATGGCTGCCTGCAGTGATGACTCCTCGTCAATGCTGTAGTCCTGCAAACACAAAGTCACACAGTCAACCACTGAGCAAATAATGCCAGACACCAAATAAATAAAGCAGACTGCTTTGAGATATGCAGTGCATTCATGTTACAGTACTGGGATATTACAGTGACAGTACTAGGATATTACAGTGATAGTACTAGGATATTACAGTGACAGTACTAGGATATTACAGTGACAGTACTAGGATATTACAGTGACAGTACTAGGATATTACAGTGACAGTACTAGGATATTACAGTGACAGTACTAGGATATTACAGTCACATTATTGACAACAGAACTGCTCTAGTCCTATCTAAAGAACAGACGATACAGAGCCCAGACCCCAACCCTTATCCTCACCACAAACGTGTCGTAGGAGAACTTGTGCCGGTGGAGGAGGTGCTGGAGGAAGTTGGAGCTCTTGTAGCTGGGGTCCCCCCAGGGCATGGCTGAACATACAGGACACACCTGGAGGCACACCAACCAATCAACAACCCTGTAATTACCTCACCAGTACACCAAACCAGAATGCATTAGAATCTGTTGGTTTAGGATGCACTCTCATGAAGAATGACGTCAACGTTGCGTAACACTTCATATCAGCACATAAATGCTTGAGGAAATTCAGACTAGGACAGTGTCCATGTTCAGACTAGGACAGTGTCCATGTTCAGACTAGGACAGTGTCCATAGTTCAGGGTATAACATAACAGACTGACCACTTTGTTGGGATCGTTGCGGTGGTTTTCCATACAGTGTTTGACCAGCTCCTGTTGGTCCAGATTGCGGGCTCCACAGAACGGGCATGAAAAGGTGGAGCGGTTTGGAATATTGCTGCAGGCAGGGAGAAAACACACGTTTAGTAGGAGCCATAAAGGAAACAACATGGGTATGCGCACACACACACTTTGCCAGACACACACTGATGGTGTGTTGTTGTGTGTGAGTAGAGCGCCAAAGTCTGAGGCCCAGTTCTCAGACACTAGCAGGATGCCAATCATGTCCAGCAGCACACCTAGAAGGACAGCTGGTCTGTGTGGACATGAGGGTCAGAAAGCAATGTGCTGCAGTGACATTTACGCTAGCCGAGCCACACCCCTTAACAATGTGTTCATTAACTCACTGCTCCATCAGCACTACAGCAAGACAACAGGGCCTATTCACACACTACCCTCCACAGCTAACCAGGAGCAGCCCATTAGAGTCCCATCAGACTTAGGGTTGACAGGTCTCTCAGGTAGGACAGTCTACTAGCTAATGGGAAATGTCTATTTGACAGACATGTCTAAAGGTGCACACTGTACTGTAGACTTCATAGAACAGCAATGTCCTCAGAAAAACTATACCGACCAAACATCATTTCAGCCTTGGGCTAAGAAAGTGACAGTTTAGTCAGAATAATGACTTTCTGACAAGTAGACAACACCAGCAGATGGTCCACTGTGTTCTCTGGGCCTTCAACTAGATGAGACTCTGCCTTTGTGGTGCTGGCAACATCGCCCAATTAAATTGTGTTTTGGAATGTGGTAAAAACAACAACCTTGAAAACCGAGAGAAGACACAAGATAAGCTATTCTGTGTTCACCCGTGAGTTCCAGATGGTCACTATGGACGTCACAGAGCCTGATCACAGTACTCGTCCTCAGACTAGTAACTCAGTGCTTCTTGCACATGTTGGGAGTGGGACCTCCTCTGGCTGAGTTGTTCACAGACCCTCCAGACAGAAAGACCCTCCCGATAGACATACCCTCTAGACAGAAGGACAGACAGACATACCCTCCAGACAGAGAGTTAGACGTGACGTGATGTGACAGAAACACTGAAAGGGAGGGAATGAACCGATTCCTCTTTGAAGAGCTAATTAACTGCCTTTCAATGTATTGGGAGTGTGGTTCTGCAGATCAATGCTAGGACAGAAATATTGACTCAAATCTCTTCAGTCTGTCCAAATGGACCCTGATGTCCAGGAGCGACTGAGAGCCCCTCAGAGAGCTTACCTGGGAATGGGCTGTGAAGTGGGGACCACAGGCACAAACTTTGGGCAGTTGGCCATCTGTTCCTGGACCTTTGCGCAAGAGGAGATGTGTGACCTCATTTTGACCAGAGACACCTGGAGCCCACCAGTGGAGAGAGGAGGAGAGAGAGAGAGAGAGAGAGAGAGAGAGAGAGAGAGGAACATGAGAGAGAGAGAGAGAGAGAGAGAGACATGTTATTAAGTGAATAAATGGGCAGGGAGATGTTTTGTGAGTGTGTGTGGTATTGTGTATCATCAAGTGTGCGTCTGTACAGTATGTGTGTTGGCTTGAGACTGGGAAGCCACAGTAGTGTAGTTCACCTTCTTACTGCAGCCCCGACAGGGGGCCTTGTAATTGGACAGCTGTTTCTCCACACTGGAGGACTTGTCCACCTTCTTTGGGTCAAAAGGCATGCGGCACAGAGGGCAGAGGGGAGAAGTCACCTGGAGACAGGGCTGCAGACACTCCCCACAGAACCTGCACACACACAGAGACGGAGAGGCAGTCAGTCGTTGCACTGGAACCAAATAATCTAGCCTATACTCTGAGAGAAACTGACTGACAATCGGGACATGTGTCGATTGATACAGTTGAAGTCGGAAGTGTACATACACTTAGGTTGGAGTCATTAAAACTAGTTTTTCAACCACTCCACAAATTTCTTGTTAACAAACTATAGTTTGGTTAGGACATCTACTTTGTGCATGACACAAGTAATTTTTCCAAACAATTGTTTACAGACAGATTATTTCACTTATAATTCACTGTATCACAATTCCAGTAGGAAGTTTACATACACTAAGTTGACTGTGCCTTTAAACAGCTTGGAAAATTCCAGGAAATGATGTCATGGCTTTAAAAGCTTCTGATAGGCTAATTGATATAATTTGAGTCAATTGGAGGTGTACCTGTGGATGTATTTCAAGGCCTACCTTCAAACTCAGTGCCTCTTTGCTTGACATCATGGGAAAATCAAAAGAAATCAGCCAAGACCTCAGAAAATTAATTGTAGACCTCCACAAGTCTGGTTCATCCTTGGGAGCAATATCCAAACGCCTGAAGGTACCACGTTCATCTGTACAAACAATAGTACGCAACTATAAACACCATGGGACCACGGAGCCGCCATACCGCTCAGGAAGGAGACGCGTTCTGTCTCCTAGAGATTAACGTACTTTGGTGCAAAAAGTGCAAATCAATCCCAGAACAACAGCAAAGGACCTTGTGAAGATGCTGGAGGAAACAGGTGCGAAAGTATCTATATTCACAGTAAAACGAGTCCTATATCAACATAACCTGAAAGGCCGCTCAGCACGGAAGAAGCCACTGCTCCAAAACCGCCATAAAAAAGCCAGACTACGGTTTGCAACTGCACATGGGACAAAGATCGTACTTTTTGGAGAAATGTCCTCTGGTCTGATGAAACAAAAATAGAACTGTTTGGCCATAATGACCATCGTTATGTTTGGAGGAAAAAGGGGGTCGCTTGCAAGCCGAAGAACACCATCCCAACCGTGAAGCACCTCATGATTATATCTATTTTGTGAAGTGCACCAGTTCCTCCTGCAGCAAAGCACCCCCACAGCATGATGCTGCCACCCCCGTGCTGAAGGAAAATGATGTGGATATATTGAAGCAACATCTCAAGACATCAGTCAGGAAGTTAAAGCTTGGTCGCAAATGGGTCTTCCAAATGGACAATGACCCCAAGCATACTTCCAAAGTTGTGGCAAAATGGCTTAAGGACAACAAAGTCAAGGTATTGGAGTGGCCATCACAAAGCCCTGACCTCAATCCTATAGAACATTTGAGGGCAGAACTGAAAAAGTGTGTGCGAGCTAGGAGGCCTACAAACCTGACTCAGTTACACCAGCTCTGTCAGGAGGAATGGGCCAAAATTCCCCCAACTTATTGTGGGAAGCTTGTGGAAGGCTACCCGAAACGTTTGACCCAAGTTAAACAATTTAAAGGCAATGCTACCAACTACTAATTGAGTGCATGTAAACTTCTGACCCACTGGGAATTTGATGAAAAATAAAAGCTTAAATAAATCATTCTCTCTACTATTATTCTGACATTTCACATTCTTAAAATAAAGTTGTGATCCTAACTGACCTAAGACAGGGAATTTTTACTAGGATTAAACGTCAGTAATTGTGAAAAGCTGAGTTTAAAATGTATTTGGCTAAGGTGTATGTAAACTTCCGACTTCAACTGTACATAAAGTCTAAATACAAAGTGAATCAGAGTGATCATTCGGAGCGAGTGTCCCAGAGAAATGTGTAATCTCTATGCTTTAATAACATTCTATGAATCTCTTCAAGGTTTTCCCACACAGTGAACTCCAGTCAGTCTCATTCGACACACACCACAGTGCCAGTAGAGTAGTGGTGTGTATATTTGCTGGGGCAGCATCACTCACAGTCAGACAGACCCAGCATTCACCCATCATCATCTCCTCTGGCGGCTCTGAGCAACGTGGGCACCGCTTGCAGCGCTGGGGCCGAGAAATGACCCTGTGGTGGCATGCACACAGGCTGAGCAATGGGCAGTCACCTCCCATGATGACATGAGTCAGCAGTCAGCACTGCCAGGGGGACCACTGTCAGCAAACAGAGGGCCCAGAGAGCTGGTCTTGGGCTGGCCATGAAACCTCCCCTGACAAATGAGCCAGGAGTTTATACTGCCAGAGTACTGAATCACTGCAGATTTTGACAGCGCTGCCGGATGCTTTATGGCCCTGTCGGCCTGAATGAGAGCGGGTAGGGTAGGGAAATACTTAGTTTCCTCAGGCTCAGGGCTGCAGAGATCAGGGAAGGGCAGAGGACAAAAATGGTTCCCTTTGAACTTGACCGATTTCAGCGTGTAATCTTAAGACAGTGCTACTAGCACCCCAGAGCCACACACCTGCTACTTCATTTGTTGCTTTGAAAGCACTTTCGGCAACTCTTTTCCCCATTAAAAACAACAAATCCTGTTCAGCAAATTGGTCCCTTCAAAAAAGTCCAACTAGAGAGAAAAGCCAGGTGTGGAAAGAGAGAACATAAGAATAATCATCCCCTCGATGCCCGAAAACAACCCCATCAAACCAGCTACATGCTAGAGAGCAGAAGAGCAGCCAGCCAAGCAGAGAAAGAGGCATGATGGTGAAGGAGGAGAGGAGGCTATTGGGGAGGGACGGACTCCATCAGCTCATCCTAACAGCATCCACAGCACAGCCCAATCTTGTACTCTGATTACCTGGAGGTGGGTCTCCACACAGTGAGAGGGAGGGTAAATGTTTCCATTAACATTACGTCCACAGAGGCCTGCACAGACACAGATACAATACTGCCCACACAGAGCTCAATTGAGCATGAAAACGTCCCTTCATTCAGAGAGAGCGAAGAGAGAGGAGAGAGAAGAGAACAGAGATAAAGAGAGTAGCAGAATATTATTAAAGCAAAGAGCTGAGTGGTCCGATATGCAAAGAGCCATGTTGCACTTCAGAATTCAAATCTCCCTGCATAGCCACAACCAGTCTTGGTTCTAACTATGTGGGTCTACCACTGTTCTTCTCTTTCAGCTGGTGGCCATCTCCACCTCTCTGCCAGAACTCACCACTTGTGGAAGAAACCATGCAGTCCGCCCTCAGGCAGGCTAATCAAGTGGCTAATAAACTCTTAACAACACAGTGGGCACTGTTTCAGCACCTTAGTTATCACATTAGCATGGGCTTAGTTTTAATAGCTAAACACCTCTCACTTCACTCCATCCATATTCAACTAGCTACATGACCCATGTGACCTCCTCTGGAGTCACTTCCCACTTACATAGGAAACCCCAAAACACAGCCAATCTAGTCAAAACATGGTCAAATATCCACTTAAGTACCAGATCTGTTTGTTTCCATCCACCCAACAACACTGTTGAGCTGAGATCTGGATGAAGCACAGCCTATGTGCCGACATTAAGATAGAAAATATGCTAATAATTAGGCCTAGTGCGTAGACCTAGACCTATTCTCAAGAGAGCCCACAATACTTGGAAATAAATTGCTTTGAGAAATTATACATGAGTGTAGAGGCTGGTAATAATATTATCTGGGGATATCATTGCCTCATAATCAAAGGTATACTCAGCTAGCCTACTCATTCAAGGGTTTTTCTTTATTTTTACTATTTTCTACATTGTAGAATAATAGTGAATACATTAAAACTATGAAATAACACATATGGAATCATGTAGTAACCAAAAAAGTGTTAAACAAATCCAAATATATTTTATATTTGAGATTCTTCAAATAGCCACCCTTTGACTTGATGACAGCTTTGCACAATCTTGGCATTCGCTCAACCAGCTTCATGAGGTAGTCACCTAGAACGCATTTCAATTAACAGGTGTGCCTTCTTAAAAGTTAATTTGTGGAATTTCTTTCCTTCTTAATGCGTTTGAGCCAATCAGTTGTGTTGTGACAAGGTAGGGGGGTATACAGAAGACAGCCCTATTTGGTAAGAGACCAAGTCCATATTATGGCAAGAACAGCTCAAATAAGCAAAGAGAAACGACAGTCCATCATTACTTTAAGACATGAAGATCAGTCAATACGGAACATTTCAAGAACTTTGAAAGTTTCTTGAGGTGCAGTCGCAAAAAACATCAAGCGCTATGATGAAACTGGCTTTCATGAGGACCGCCACAGGAATGGAAGACCCAGAGTTACCTCTGCTGCAGAGGATAAGTTCATTAGAGTTACCAGCCTCAGAAATTGCAGCCCAAATAAATACTTCACAGAGTTCCAGTCACATCTCAACATCAACTGTTCAGAGGGGACTGTGTGAATCAGGCATTCATGGTCGAATTGCTGCAAAGAAACCACTACTAAAGGACACCAATAATATAAAGAGACCTGCTTGGGCCAAGAAACACGAGCAATGGACATTAGACCGGTGGAAATGTGTCCTTTGGTCTGGAGTCCAAATTTGAGATTTTTGGTTTCAACCGCCGTGTCTTTGTGAGATGCGGTGTGGGTGAACGGATGACCTCCGCATGTGTACATCCGTAGTTCCCACCGTAAAGCATGGAGGAGGAGGTGTTATGGTGTGGGGGTGCTTTGCTGGTGACACTGTCTGTGATTTATTTAGAATACAAGGCACACTTAACCAGCATGGCTACCACAGCATTCTGCAGCGATACACCATCCCATCTAGTTTGGGCTTAGTGGGACTATCATTTGTTTTTCAACAGGACAATGACCCAACACACCTCCAGGCTGTGTAAGGAGTGATGGAGTGCTGCATCAGATGACCTGGCCTCTACAATCCCCCGACTTCAACCAAATTGAGATGGTTTGGGATGAGTCGGACCGCAGAGTGAAGGAAAAGCAGCCAACAAGTGCTAAGCATATGTGGGAACTCCTTCAAGACTATTGGAAAAGCATTCCAGGTGAAGCTGGTTGAGAGAATGCCAAGCGTGTGCAAAGCTGTCATCAAGGGAAAGGGTGGCTATTTGAACTACATGGTTACTACATGATTCCATATGTGTTATTTCATAGTTTTGATTTCTTCACTATTATTCTACAATGTAGAAAATAAAAAACTTTTGACTGGTAGTGTAATTGCTGCCCATCTTAGTACCAGAGCAGTACAAGTCATCTGTCGTCCTTTTCTACTACCTTAATAAACCAATAGCATAATGAAAGCCAGATGTTGGCCAAATTATTGCTACAATGCTGACACTAGGATCCAAAAACATAAAATGTTAGTGTGTGAGGCTCGGCTAGCATAAATGTCACTGGAGCGCATTGCTTTCTGACCCTCATGTCGGAGTCAGTTGCTCCGTGAGGTGTTGTTCGAATTGCGTGCCTGTGTCTATTTTGCAAAGTGTGGTGTCTATCAGGTTAGATCAAAATAAAGTTTGCAGTCTGTCCTCATACCTATTTACATTCCAGACACTCCAGAAAACTATCCCAAAACACCTATTTATAGATCAATAAAACAGATAGGTGGGAGGAAGGGACTCAAGCTTTTTTGCAGCTCCAAAACAGACCGTTTGAGGAGCCGTTTGATCAGCTGAGATGTAGTGAACCGTGAAGCTCTGTCTGGACAGTGATAAAGGACTGTCTAGGGTTGATACTGTCTCAGAGAATTGACAAGCCAGCATGAGAGGAGTAGCATTGAACAAAGCACATATATTCAAACAGCACTGATGAATACTAAAAGCCAACAGTGCTGAAACAACATCATTTTGGTCTGTCACACTGACAGAAACAAAGATGGAGAACAGGACAGACAGAGCTACAACGGTCAACAGAACATGCAGCGAGCAACAAGAGACTCTTAAAAATGCTAATCTCCCTCTCCTGAAGATAACTCCTCCACACAAGTCTGAGGGGAAACTTGTCTCCATATAATTGAAATACAAATCTGTCCCAAGCACCCCAGCAGCAGCAGTCTTTCAAAGTAAGCATCCAGAGCTGCTGTAGCCCAACTCTGGTCTGAAAGACACCTCCAAGGTTATCTTCTAGCTTCGTCTGTCATCACTTAAAGATGCCCGGGTGTAGCACCCTCCTATTAGACAATTAAATCACCGCCGCTGTATTCAACATTCATCAGACAGCAGGCACACTCACACGTTTGCACGTCTTGTGTCTAGTTGAACAGCGGTTAAAGAAAGAGTTGTGGTCAAGTGTGTGGTGACATGGGAGTGACAAACACTCAAGGGTGAACATGGTGTTGTTGAAATACTGTTCTGTACTGCCTAGTTGTAAACATTTTGGCCATGTCCAATATGCTTCCTGATAATTGACATGAAATGCTCACCAATAGATAAAAGATAAGCAGTTGGCTACCATTTAGAATTTTATTTGAGCTTTATTTAACTAGGCAAGTCAGTTAAGAACAAATTCTTATTTACAATGACGGTCTACACCGGCCAAACCCGGACGACGCTGGGCCAATTGTGTGCCGCCCTATGGGACTCCCAATCACGGCCGGTTGTGATACAGCCTGGAATCGAACCAGGGGGTCTGTAGTGACGCCTCAAGCACTGAGATGCAGTGCCTTAGACCACTGCGCCACTCGGGAGCCCAATATAGGCTACCTAAGGAAGGTCTTAAAGGAGCAGGCGAGAAACTGCCTATTTCTCCAGGAGTAAAAGAGAGTCACCAAAGAACACTATTTTTACACATAGATAGGCCTATCTCCCCATTATAGATAGAGACAATGGCATCGCCTGCCGTCACAACGCAGCACACACCTGACCCAAGGATACGGGGAAGACTTGCTGATGCATATGGTATATATGATGATGTATGGTGCTATAAGGAGAGAAGCTCTATAACTGTGTATATTTGATCTACCCTCTCCACCTCCCTCCCTGAAGAAATGGAGAGAGCTGACCATATTTCCTGTACAGAGAAGGGAGATGAAGCTCTCAGAGAGATATCTACTGCCACTTCAGGAGAGCAGAGGTAGGCTAATGAGAGCAAATGAAGCCAGGTGCTACTAGAACACAGAAGCCCCAGGGTTGGCTCCTCACCATCTGCACC